ATAAGGGGCCGATTATATCGTGCATCCCTAAAATAGTGCTTAGTATTTACATTTAACCCCCTTTACTAGGGATGCTCGATATTGCCTTTTTTGTCGATATTCGATATGCCGATATTCCAAACGCTAAATTTTCTATTCCGATATAAGCCGATACTGATATAAACTAATTTCACATCATACCAGTAACAAAATGTAAGCATTAAAGCCTAGATTTACTGTGATGCCCCACTACACACTGTATATTCCACCAATAATTACTATTGTAGAGGATAAAAACAGCATTTCTACTTCACGAAAAGGCTAAATTTGACATTTATTTTCAACGCTGTCTCAAAAAACATTTTGAAATATGCTCTTCTTTAGATTAACCTGACAATATATATTCAAACAAGAGATAAATATCTTTTCTTCACAAATAGGAAAAAAAGTGTACCTCACCATTACGGCTGTATTGCACAGAATTGAATATAAACACAAATGAAGGATCGCTGTTGAAGGACAAAGTAGTTGGTTCCCCCACGCATGACAAGGACCTCACATTCGTTGCAAATCGCAAACTTCAAGTCATCATTTGAAACTTTAAAAAAGTTCCACACCGCAGTTACAAAATACTTTAGCTTCGCTGCTGCTACACAATTTTGCCGTCTGGCACGGTTTAATGACGGCATCAGAGTGCAAGAGTGCTCGCTTCAAAGTATTACGCAAAATCTAGGCCTTATATTATCGGCTTTTAATTATCGGGGGGGAAACCCGATAAGGATATGGACAGATATCACATAATTATGCTAATATCGGCCGATAATATCGGCCGGTCGATATTATCGGACATCTCTACCCTTTATTATAACACCCTTAGAAAAATAATCACTACTACAACGTCCTTCACACTAGAGTTTGAATGGTTTTGTTTGTTATTTAATCTCAGTATAAACCAAGGCCTGTGAAGGAGTCAGAGGTTTGTTACACATCATTAGCAAACAAATAAATATCATGAAATCCAAGGAACATGGCTGGTCAACAAAGGTGGGCAGCATCCAAAAAATGTACCCAAGTAAAAGTAGCACTACGTCATTGTTTAAAAAAATGTGCATGTATTGCAAGAGTAAACATCTATACATTAAAAAGGTGAATCAAAGTTCTGCCTAACTGATCTATTCACTACCCATGATCAACTGATTTAATATTTTACAAAAGGATACAGTGGCGGCTGGTGAAAAATATTTTTGGTGGGGCTGATATAGCCTAGTGTATGTCTCCAACTAATGTGGAATAAGATTTCAAATAAACAATTGGACAATACATACAATTTAACAGTAATGATTTAATTTACTATATAATAACAGTAACAGTGATGATTT